CAGTGTCTTGTGGAAATGCCTGACGTCAGTAAGCTATTTGCTTGCGCTTCAAATCTTCTAATACGAGTTTAGGGGTTTCGTGTGTACCTGTATTTCTAGATCATGGAATTAGCTACATAAAAACGAAATTAAGATATGAAAAAGTAAAAAGTAAAGCTATCCCTGTAACAGGCCGTCAAGGCCTATGGGGTTGTGAGATGTTGAGGTTCCCACATTTTCTAGACAATCGGCTCATAGTTGGCGGTAAGGTTGTCAGCCCTACGCGCCGGCCGCCCTTTACCTCCAAAAATATTCTTGGTACTCATTTCTGTTACAGGCTGATTCAACCCCAGGGTCATAGTGCGGCTGGAAGGATTAGGTACATTGAAAAAAAAATTGTATTTTATAATCTAACAGTTATCAAGTAACCAGCTTTACTATCACAATGAAATTGCTGTTCAGTAGTGTGTGAATATAGTAATCATGCGTTTTGCCTGATGATGGCTTTAAAAGCCGAAACATGTAGCTAAGGTAATTTTAACCTTGACCATTATGTTGTGTTACGACGGACTCCAATAAAGAATTGAAGAAAAAAATTCAATGACCTTATCCTGATTCGACCCCGCGACCTTTCTGCTTGTAGTATAGTGCTACCGCGTGCCCCCAAGTAAGATATTAATCAAAGAGGAAATACATCGAGACTCCCTGTAACTCACCGGACTCAAGTCTGGAAACCCCTTCCCTTCGTCCTTACTCTCAGAAATTACTTTCCTAAGAATATTTGCCGCATTTATTGAAAAGTCTGTAAAATTATTATTATAAATGTCTATATTTTAGCATTGCCAATGTGCTGAATTAACGCTTAAGGCTTCTGAGGATGTGTACTAGGGTAAAACTCATAAAACTAGCGTATGTCTTGTATTCACAACAATAGAAACAGAAATGCATTTGTATATTATATAATTTATCTAATTACAAGATATGCTGAAAGTTTACTGCAACGGAACGTTATATTGCGTATTTGATCGCTATGTGCTGATACACGACATGTGAAGTTCTTGTATTCTTGAATGTCTGTAGAACTCAAAAAAATTCTATTCGATTTGAGGTTATCACGGCATCACGGCGATGGCTAACAAGACGTACTCTTCAACCACATCGTGTTCCGAAAGTAAAATATTTAAGACCTCGTTCTTCACAATTATATTACACGTGGTAGACTAGGAAGTAAATGTCTACTAACGTAAGTTCCTATGGGCTTTTTGTTTTATTGATATCAATATACTAATGTTAACTTACAGGTCTCTCGAAATCTTCCTGAGGGAGTTCAACTACAGCAATTTAAAGGCATCGAACAGCCTTACTGATCAACACAAACTTCATTTCAAAGGAGCCATTTTAGTACAAAAATATCAAATGCAGTAGAAAGCAAACCTTCACGCGTTTCATTCGGTTCGAAAGACGACTCGCAACGCTCGCAACTGTCCACCTAATCCAACCTAATTGGTATGAACCTTGACCAAAGACACTAAAATTAAGTACGTTCATCTGTGTGTATTATCGCTACTTTAGCTGTACGAGTATGTCATTTCGATCATCTTTCGCTTGCGACTGAGTATGATCTTAGCCTGTTCATGTCAATTCTTAGACGAATTAAATACACTATACCAACCATGGAGGTTGAATAGCATCGAATCTGATCATGAAATATATGATCTGTGGTCAGTTATATTGCGTTCATATTTATACTTCTTTTTACACTGCAAAAGTCAAAGTTCATAAATGCATTTTGCGTGTTTCATGATAAATTATGTCATTAACGAATGCGAAATACGACCATGACAAAAGTTAAAGAGCAGAATTATGTTTGTGGATCTTACCTGGTTTGCCAAAGCTATCACTTAATGTTAAAATTCATTTATTGAGCTAAATAAATGTTTGGATTACATTAATTATAATGCAGGAAATTAAGTGGGGTTTCCTAATTTCCACTTTGCCAAATAACATTCCAAGCACATGTGAAAATTCATATTATTGCCAATTATATATTATTCAGAAGCCTACTATAATTTAAGCAAAAGTAGCACTACACATTACATAACCTATAATAAAAGTCAATACACAATGAAATTGGACACAATACTCTGAAACCCCCTCTTCTTGTTGTATCATTGAAAATCGATTTATTTTCATAATACCACTTCAATAACACAAAATGTTTTCTGTCAGAAATAATACCAAAATCCAAACACAGATAGAAGAAAGAGTGCAATGAATTGATCTATGACATCTAGGAACTATACAGGAAAGTTCAATTTTGCAACAGGTATATCTGGTCATTGACAGAAAAAACTGTTTAAAAACCCAAAACACATTTCTTTTCTTTTAGACATTTTAATATTCAATTTTCACAACATCTGCATACAATACAGAATAAATACATTCCGCAAGGGAATGTTATGAAAACCTATAACATCATGATTATGTAAACGAATTTACAAATGTTCATTGTAACGTGTCTGGCCAAAGATGTCACCGTAGAAATCTGTAGAATAAAAACCTTTGTAATGCTACTGCAATGTGGAGAAATTTAAATACGAGCATACACATTTCTTCTCATATACAGGCAGAAACTCTGAAAGACTGTGTACCAAAAACTAGTGTGAGGTACTCTTCATTCCCAAACTGATATATTGTTCAGTCTCTTCGTTTGCCTTTTTTATGTCCACATTTCCATCTTTTTAGTTTAGTGCATAAGATAGCCTAGGGAAGAGCTTCCCTGTGTGTTTTCTGTGGTATTCTCAAAAATGGAAAAGAACCATATTTTAATTTGGTTTATGCCATTTTTTCAATATAATGAGAGGGCAGGTGTGTTACACCTCCAGATTATCAAGGTCAGCTTGATTACATTATGGTCCTATCTATCTATGCCTGTTGTTCCCACTTGGGGCACAGGGCATCCGTGAAACACTTTGTTTCCTTCAGTTTCTTAATCTTTGACAGTCGGTAGGATTCCTTGAATGGAGGATCAACCTGAAGCAAGGCCACTACCTACACAGGATGACACAAACACAGAGTAAGCGCAGACAGCCAGTCATGCCTTGAGTGGGATTCAAACCCACAATCCCAGTGTTCAAGTGGGCAAAGACATTCCATGCTTTAGACTGTGCAGCCACTGTGATCAGCACATTATGGTTAGGGACATGTATTTAATTAAAAACTCAAGAACATTCCAATAGTTGGAAAGCATGTTGTTAATTCAGAAAGATAGGATCTTTTGATGTACAAATATTTGGTAAAATTAGATGAACAATGGAGCACAGGAAATGGGACTGTCATCATTCAGAACAATGGAGAATTGAACACAGATCTTGTTTAATCAATCATTTGAATAACTTATGTATAAAAATCTGTTATCTTAATGATTAAATTTAAAAATCTAAAACTCTAAAAGTGAATAAAATAATTGAACTAAAACTTGTACTTTCATATGCTTAGCATTCTTTCCATAACAAAATTTGATTTCAGACAAATCTATTTAACCATATTCCTGCACATATGTTAAAAAGTATATTTATTCTTGAGCAACAAGATATGACATGTACACATCTTTAAAACAAATGCATATAAAAATTATTTTGTACCTTCATGACAGATGAAAACTATGTCAGGGGACAAACAGCACATCCCTTGGTGTTAAAAAGCTAAGCAAATCTATCACAAATGAAACAAATAATAAATACATGAATATAATTGAGAAATGTTATGTCAAAAGAAAATTTTGCTCATGAATGAAATGCTATATTACAAATATAATTCTAAAATGGCACAGCATCAGTATATGACTAGCAGTGTCGTGGCCCTCAGCATTCATCAACAACAATGCTTCCCATTCAGCAACGTAAAAATTCCACCATATAAATTTCTTAAACACATTTAAAAATGATCCTTGTCATTCAAGGAAAGTTGGTGTTATGAAAAATATAACACACCTTCAACTCTCAGTGGAGTTAGATGATGAGATTTAAATTGGGTTGGACATGTGGCTAAGATGGAGAAAAGAGTAAAAGAACACTCAATTTTTGGAGGGAAATCCTTAGAAAAGTTATAACTCAGAAGATGAAGACAGAGATGAGAAGGTACCTTCACAATGCATCAGAGAGAAATGGGCTGTAAAGATTTGAATGAGACAGGACCAGAAATTTAGTCCACTAGTTACTGAGAACACAGTTTGACACTATACACTTCAGAAAAAATAAACCAACTCTTAGGTGAGAGGCCTACAAAATTCTTATCACCACTTCCGAATAATGTCCTTTGTCTCAATCATTTTTAATGGCCCAAGTATTAGACCAAACATTTACGATTTTTTGTTGTTGTCAAACTGAATTACTCATATAAACATTTCACTTATTTTAAACTGGGTCTCAAATAATATGTCAACATTTTGATATGGATATTCCAAAATAAGGAGCACACAGTAGCGTAGTTGGTTGAGGCACTGTGCTACAAGCTGGAAGGTTGTGGGTTCAAGTCCTGAGGAGGTCATTGGTTGACATAATCCTTCCAGCCGCACTATGGGCCTGGGGTCGACTCAGCCTCTAACAGAAATGAGTACCAGGAATTAATTCAATAATTTTCCTGGGGAGTAAAGCGTGGCCGGTGTGTAAGGCTCACAACCTTACCGCCATTTTTGAGCAGACTGTCTAGATAATGTGGGACCCTCAACGTCTCACAACCCTATGGGCCTTCACGGCCTGTTACTGGGATAGCTTTACTTTCTTTTAA